CAACTGCCATGTGATTGGTTGATTAGATAATTGCATTAATGAGAAATTGAACAGGTGTTCCTAATAATCCTTTAGGTGAGTGTATATGTGAAGAAAACGTAACATTTTCTAGCAGCCTTTCCTCAAACACAATACTCAGTACTGACCAGATGTTAAATGTTCTTCATAATGCTTTTTTGCAGAATGTATTACAGATACTGGTTGTATTTCATAAAAGACCATGCCGATCTTCTGAGGGATGATGGCCGCACAAAGGCGTCCACAGCATCACCGTACCTCTGGTACCTCCTACTTCCAGACAATACTGACTATTCTGAAGGTACACATGAAAATTAGGGGCAGGATTTAGTGAGTCAGATAAAAACCATCCCTGAACATGGACAAATAAAAGGAAAGATGTTAAAAGGCAATGGGAGCAAGTCAACACAGACGTGCAGATCAGATTCAAACAACAAGAAATGGTACAGCATAAATTATGATTTACAGCTCTTTGGTATGAATTCACAGCCTTAGCTGGTGCTGGTAAACAGCAGAAGGTTTTGTTGGGCAAAGTCACCATCAGACACCTCACAGCTACTCAGAACAACAATTGTACTGGGTATGTGACCAATGAAAAGCATTATACAGACTAACAGGCCTTAGGCGCTACTGCTTCCAATCTTAAAAGCTGTGATGTGTTAGGCTTTTTATGATCACAAATAAGTAAGAAAAGAATAACATGTTTTGAAAAGGACACAATCACAATGGTGAATTACACTTGTGATTGTTATCTTAGGCCATGCTTAGGTCTAAAGAGAGGAGACTAATTTAAAAAGAAAGAAAAAACAAAAAAGCTAAATTAATTGACGGGAAGTGAATGTTTTGTCACATGGAAATGTGCCAATCAGAATACAGGGCAGGGAACCTTATATGGTTAATGAAGTCTTTGGCCCTTTCAGTTACTTCCATAGATGGAAGAGCAGATACAGGAAGACAGGAAGAGGCAGCAATAAGCCTTTAAAAAGAGAAGGGAAATGGACACATCCTTTTACTAGCAGCTACTCAGTGTGCATTCTGGTCGTCTGAGGTCACCCAGCAAACTATTAGTGGGAAACACAAGTAGAAAATTAACACTAACAAATAAAACCTTTGTTTTCGAATGTGATTGAAAGGGGCCTTTTGGGGGACACTGTTACTTATTGCAGAGTTCACACAGTGCTTGTGTTGAGGATCAAATTAAGCTTTACAACACAAACATAAGTCAAAGACCCAGAGAGCAGGTCGGTTGTACAGTAAATGGTGGTTAAAACAGAAGAACTGATGGCATCAGAAAGCTAAACAAGGGAACAGACTATACTGCTATGCAGAAATCACATGATACTAGAAGATCTACTGTATTTGCAATCCAGTTCTAGGGCTAAGCTCATTCACATGCATGCGACCATTTCACAGTTTAATACACCATTTAGATTATATTAGTAATTTCCTTTGCAAAGCTGCTTAAAAGCACACTAATCAGACATCCCGTCCTATGCTGCAATCCAAAAGGCAGCAGTAACCTTTGTAAAACACATCAATGTCAGAATACAACTAAATTTTGTTAAACACTCCATTTATTCCAGTTGCTAATGGAGGGGGACCTTTCATTTATGCATCACACTAGACCAGGGGTCTCCAACTCCGGTCCTGAAGAGCTACCGTCCAGTAGGTTTTCTATCCTACCCGGCTACTGATGAGCCACACCTGTTCTCAGGTAAATACCAGGAGCAGGTGTGACTCATCAGAAGCCAAGTAGGATAGAAAACCTACTGGATAGTAGCTCTCCAGGACCGGAGTTGGAGACCCCTGCACTAGACAGTATTTAAGTTATAAATGTCGTCAGGGTCTCTCCATACTGGCATCTTCTGACTCCCTTAGCAGTGGCCACTGTCATCGAGAGCCAGAAGGTCCATGAAATTCTCTGTCTTTCATGGATAATAATCCATTTTGCACGTGTCCACAGGAGCACAAACAGCGCACAGAGCTGGCATGGTGCCAGAAAAGCACGTTCTAATAAATCCATGTCGCACCGCTCAGGAAGATCAACACAGGGGGCGCAATGCGAGCAGCGGGCAACGGCAGAGGACTGCAGCGCTTCTTCATCTGAGGATGTCTGTACACCGTTTTTACATAGCAGGAAGCACTGCCATAGCTACGTCAGTAAAGGCTGCCGTGAGAAGACCCCAGGGAGGATACGAGGGGGACAGAGGCATGAACAGAAGTGTTTTGAGGAGAGTGAGCAGCTCTTAAGGTGCTTGTAGAAAGTATTCAGTCCCTTTCGCTTCTGTCACATTTTGTTATGTTGCATCCTAATGTATGGATGGATGGATATTCTAAATAACCAAATAACCAGCTTTGTCTCTAATTATAATAGTAGGATGCCCAGATGGCACAGTGAGCCCCCTGGAGGATGCCCTGATGGCACAGTGAGCCCACTGGAGGATGCCCTGATGGCACAGTGAGCCCCCTGGAGGAAACCCTGATGGCACAGTGAGCCCCCTGGAGGATGCCCTGATGGCACAGTGAGCCCCCTGGAGGAAACCCTGATGGCACAGTGAGCCCCCTGGAGGATGCCTGATGGCACAGTGAGCCCCCTGGAGGATGCCTGATGGCACAGTGAGCCCCC